TGGCATGCTTTTTTATGGTATAAAGGAACTAAAACACAGGGGTATTTTAGAAGACATTATATACAGGAGGCTCTGTGGTTAAACTGGGAGAAGATTAAAAGACAATGTTATTTGAAAATTCCAGTCTGGTTATTTTCTTATCCTATAATATACAAAAAGGAACAAACAGTTAGATATGGTGAAATATTGAATGAAAAGGGTGAACTCAAATCTATACAAAAACTAGAGGAACAAGGTATAAAGATGAATTGGTTTTCATATGCGCAAATACATTCAAGGTATGATAAAGATTCTAAAATGGAAGATTTCTATGATAAATTGACTGATTTAGATAAGATTTTGACAGGTACTGATGAAAAGGTGATTAAAAAACTGTATGGATATTTATTAGAAATTAAATTAGAAGAAGAACAAGTTAAAGAAACTATGATTGCTTGGGGGAAGAATTTTGGATATGGGATCGATTTATAGACATGGCAAAAATTGTGGTCTCAAAATTATAAAATGACAATGTCAACAGCATATAAAGAAAATTTGTATAAGATGTTTTACAGGTGGCATTTTCCCCGACAAGAATAGCAAGAATGTTCAAGAATAAATCCGAAAAATGTTGGAAATATCATCAGACACCTGGCTCATATTACCATATGTGGTGGACTTGTGCGGATGCTAAAAAATACTGGACTAAAATCCACATGTGGTTGGAAAAAATGACAAAAAACATATAGATTTGAAACCAGAGATATTTTTATTGGGAATTTTACTTGAAATATATAGTAAAGACTTGAAATACCTGATTGTAAACATGTTGACAGCGGCTAGGATTGTATTTGCTAAAAACTGGAAAAATGAGAAAATACCATCACAGGAGGAAATCATCAAGAAAATATTGGAATGTGCTGAAATGAGTAGATTGACATTTGAAATTAGAGAACAAGAGGATAAACAATTTTATAAAATTTGGGATCTTTTCTATCAATGGTTAGATAATAAAATACATTAATGAAATATGTAGACTTTTAGAAAATAATAAATATATAAAGATGTACTTCTTTCTTATTATATCTACAAAATGATTTTAGGATAGATTTGGGATGATAATATGAGCTGTAATAAAATAAACTAAGTAAATTATGATTATCTTGTAAAACATGAATGAATTAAAGTATAGTCAAATGGTTGATTAATAATGATACCAAGGTACTTAATTTTTGATTGAAAATATGAGATTATATGCAATGCAATTGTAATTGAAGACTACGAAATAGAAGCACAAAACAATTTGTAAACCAACCGGCACACTTTATGTACACATATGGAAGATAGCTTGATGTTTTTATGTTTTGTTTGTTTATGTTTGTTTTTAAAAACTAATAATTTTTTTTTTTTAAAAAGGATTGGTATAACAAAAACCATTAAATAGGATATACAATATATAAAAATAGGGAAGTTTCCCTGTTATCTAAAAGGATGATTCATGTAACCTTGAAGTTGTATCACATGTCAGAGTGGTACACCTTAAGCCATGTCCTCATGAAGTTGTGTAAAGGCTCATACATGGGGGCATGACTTAATGTAACATCTTCCTCTTTGCAAAATTTAAAGGATGTACCATTCTGATAAAGTCTTGCTTTCTGAAGCTTTGATTCTATCCCTCTCCTTAAAAGTTTCTAGTACCACAGTCCATACTATTGAAAATTAGGTGTTGATGGAGGAGAAAATGGTGATGAATTATGTCCTGAAATGAACATTGGAAGATTTTTCTGAAAAATATATGCTAGGAGGAAAGGCAGTGGAGTCCTGATAGAAGATAGGGAAATGTCTTGATAGAAGAATTAGGGGAGTGTGTTAATGGATATTGTGGTAGAGGAAGGGTTTCAGGGGAGAGGAATAATGGTGAGTCATGTGAAAAATTGGGCAAATTAACCTGATGATATTCTATTTGCCACATATGGGACTGAAATGCAACATCTAAATATGCTATAAAGAGAAATGTAAATTAAATGCACTGATTTTAATAGAATAGAATTCTTTATTGGCCAAGTTTGATTGGACACACAAGGAATTTGTTCTGGTGCAATTTTTTTTTCATGGACTGTATTATTGCATATTTAAATGATTGGGGCATGAAAGAGCTTCAGTTGGGCTACAACTTCTATGTCCCTTCAGATTGCATCATTTGGAAAAGAGGGACCCTGGATTTAAAGAAATCAGCCTGTGAATATAAAGTTTCAACATTTGCTTTCTTTGTATTTCTTCCTAAGGAAAGATTTCCACCTGCTGGTTACAAGATGAAATTGTAACTTGTTGCTTTATCCATGGAGAAATTAGAAGAGTATGTAGAAATATTTACCTCTGAAGCAATGGGTAGGGGTACAAAGAAGGTTTATTATATTTTACCCCCAAAATATTAAACAAAGCGATAGGCTAGAATCACAAGTGAGCTATTTCAAGCTTTAGTCTGTGGATATCTGGAAAATCATGATAGCAGGGGTGTCAAAGTTGATTTCATTGAGGGCCGTATTAGGGTTCTGTTTGACTTCGGGGGGCCAGAGCGGGCATGGTCAACTCGATTTCACTCGTGTCGGGGGTACCTGTGGTGGCCCAGGCGCTCTGCCAGTGAAAAGATGCTCCCAGGCTGCATTTTCTACTGCAACCCTCTGCCAGCGGAGCTCAGGAGGACCACCTGCGGCCCTTGTGAGCTCCATTTTCAGCTGCAATTGTGTCCTGCAACCCTCTACCAGTGAAAATGGAGCATGGTCCTCCTGAGCTCCATTTTTGCTGCCAGAGGCACCATGGGGTGGTCTTTTGTTGTTTCCAGGGTAGCCCCTTGGGCCAGATCTAAGCACCCCATGGACCAGATCTGGATCCCCTCAGTTTGACGCCCCTGTGATAGTGCTTCCACTTATTTAACTTATTTAATGGTTCTTGCATTCCTTCTTCGAGATTATCTTCATATTTTTTCACTCAGTGTTTTATGTTACTTTGGCCCTGTCTTCCTTGAAGTTAGTCCTTTCCTCAGGCCATGATGAGGGGGTCAAACTTCTTTTCCAAAGCACCAAAAGGCAAGATGAGAAACAATGGGTGGAAATTAACCAAGGAGAGAAGCAATATAGAACTAAGGAGAAATTTCCTAACGGTGAGAGCAATCAAGCAATAGAACAGCTTGCTTTCAGAAGTTGTGGGTGCTCTATCACTGAAGGCTTTCAAAAAGAGACTGGACAGCCACTTGCTGGAGTGGTATAGGGTCTCCTGCTTAAACAGGGGGTTGGACTAGAAGACCTCCAAGGTCCCTTCCAACTCTGTTATTCTATGTTCTATGTTCTATAGTTGTCTTGTATTAACTTTGTGAGTTTTTATTTATTTTGTTCAGTCACGCTATCTAACGTATTTTTTTAAATTGCTTAGCAAACCAACCAGAGTTGATCGATTTGGGCAGCTCTGCAAATCTGATAAAAGAAATAAATTTTAAAAAATGACAGGAGGCCTTTCAAATACCTTTCAAGGCTAAGATTTTATGACTGAACAAACTAGACTCAGAACAGAAGAGATTTGTGGCAGCCAAACTGGTTGGACAAGACTGGCAGGATCTATTATTTTGTTAGGCAAATTCAGCCAGGTATCTCCATGAGAACCAAGAAAGCAGAAGTAGCAGGAAGTTTTCTATCCCCTCCCTACCTAAAAAGAGGAGACAAAACAGTTCTGTGAGCAAGGACTAGAAGGATGAGATTTTAGATTCTATCAGGAGCAACAGCATTTAAAATAATTGACGTGGGGGGAAGAATTGGAGTGACTACCTAAAACAGTAGCCCCCAACCATTTTTGTCCCACGGCCCGGTACCGGCATCACAAAATGATCCACGGCCCGGTACCGGCATCAGCACGCACAACCAAGGCAAGGCGAGCCGAGCGACCGGCCAGCCAGCCGTCCCCCGCTTCTCCCCGCCACCTTCAACTCCTCCTTTGTGCCTTTGTCGATGGGCTTTTTGGGCTCTTTCTTAATCTCCTCTAACACGAGACTCCATCGCCATCGGGATGGCTCTTCATTTGAAGCCGCCCCACCCCCCCCGATGAAACTAAGGCGCGAGGATTCCTTCAGCGCCCAAATGCCGCTTTCCAACCGACGACTGACAAGCTCACCCAAGCTCACCCAGAAGCACTTTCTCAAGCGCCGTCGAAACAAGATGGCGGCGCCCACTTCTTTGCGGCCTGGTAAAAAATGATCCATGGACCGGTACCGGTCTGGGGCCCAGTGGTTGGGGACCACTGACCTAAAACATGAAAACTGAGTAGGTTCATTGGGTTCAATCTATATATTTTATAAATAAGCACAAATATTTCAAAGTGCCAATAGGTGGTAGAAGGACTGCAGAGCCAGGGGGAGAGGTGAAAAGAGGGATCAACCTAGAATCCCTATGTAGCCACAATCAAAGTTCAACCCCCTTCCCCTCCCCAAGTGCTGTTGACCCTTATCTAACCCTAACCAAGTGCTGATTGTTCATTGACAAGATTCTTGTGCATAGGCTGTTTAGCAATGAATCAATTATATTGAACCTTCATGCGTGGACCTGGTCTTACACATCTGACACAGTTTGTTGTTAGTTTACTTTATTGTCATTGCACCTCGTACAACGAAATCAAACACCATTATCATTGCACATCATGACCATGAAAATAAACACAAACACACATCCTTCACACTCCACACATTGAACTGAAAACCCCCGACACCAGTGCACCAACACAGCACTATACAGTAGAATTCAACAGAGCTACTGCCCTGGGATAGAAGCTGTTTTTCAGCCTATTTGTCCTTGTTTTTATTATTCTGTATCGTCTGCCAGATGTTAATAGTTCAAAAAGGGTTCCCAGGATGAGATGGATCTTTGAGAATGTTTTGAAGTTTCTTAAGGCAGTGAGAGCTATAAAGCTCTACCAAAGAGGGGAGAGGGCAACCAATGATCTTCTGGGCAACGGCGTTAACCCTCTGGAGTGCTTTCCTATCTGCCCCTGTGCAATTGGCAAATCATACAGAGGTGCAGTAAGTTAAGATACTCTCTATGGTGCAGTGGTAGAAGGTCACCAGCAGTTTTTCATTCAGTTGTTGTTTCCTGAGAAGTCTCAGAATGTTTTCCAAAGGAAATCATCCCAGGATACATAATGTATTTTTGGAATACTTGACAGTTTAAAAAAAATGGGATATGTGATGTGATATTTGGGTACTATGAAGGTTTTGGGATTCTACTTTAAAAAACCCCAGTGAAACTCTGCTTTATCAAATCTTGATTCAACAGGTTTTACATATAATAGACCAAATTTCCATACTGTTTTATACACACACACCATAATGATATCATTATACAAATTATATAATTGACATGATTTGCATCAATGTACTTATTCATATAATGATATTATTTTCCTAATTATGCCATCATGCCAAATGTCATACATGAATATGAAAGATGTCATTTGTATCATACCGCTAGTTTGCAATTTAATTCAGTAGGTCTTCATCAATTAGATACTCCCAGATGTTCATCCAAGTCAATTTCAAAGCAAGTGGTTGCATTTACACGAACAGCAAGTCTTAATTTCATTATAATCTTGATTGTTTTGGTGGCCAGGATGGTGTACTCAAAATTGGCATCTAGGTTTCACGCTATTTTGAAGCACAAAAATACAACAAAACTGCAATGGACGATTAAAACAGAATTTAAACAATGTAACACAAACCAAAGATAAATCCGAAAACTGTGCTGTGTCCAATCTCAATATCCACTCCCAAATTCTTGAGCTTGCCAGTCTTTGCTTTAGCTGAAATATTAAATATGGCTCCCAAGAATGAAACAGTGTCCATCTTTGTCCTATGTTACAGATATCTTCACCTCTAAAAGCTCTTTTTGAAGGATTTGCTCTTGTATTTGTGAGGTCTAGAATGATCATAGGACTTCCCAAAGCATTAGTTCAGCTGGAAGTATAGGCCTGTAGTTCATCAGAACTCCTCACTTATATGTCAGAATAGTAGTGAAAAGGATCCTACACATAGATAAACTGACCTTTTTATTTGAGACCAGAAGGTTGATGTGAACTCTTGAGTTCAAAACCTCAAGGATTGAAGACGGACTCATTTCAAATTCACTATCCCAGATTGTTAGGCAAAGTAAAAAAAAAAAATCTTTTGATAAGAGTACAGTTCATTCTTATGCCAAAATTCATTTTATGCTAATCTATCTTTTTAGGGACGCAGCCCTCCATTTCCAGAAGTTCGGGCCATCCATCATACTTGTTTGTCTCCTGATTGTTTTTCAAATACTGTAAAAAAGGGGGGAAAAGAAACAAAATTAGGCATTTGCTTTGGATAGTTACACTTTTCAACAGATAGGAATATGGATTCCACAAAATCAAAGCATTAGCTTCTTCAGCTCAGTAGCTGGTAGATATTTCTGGCTAAGTATTACAGTAGGTAGTCCTTAACTTAGGACCACAGTCGAGCCCAATATTTATGTTGCTAAGTGAGACATTTTGCTCCACTTTAAACAACTTTCCTTGCCATTTTTGTTCAGTGAATCACTGCCATTGTTAAATTAGTAGCACTGTTGTTAAGCGAATCTGGTTTTCTCATTGACTTTGCTTTTCAGAAGGCCACAAAAGGCGACCACGTGACCCCGGGACACTGCAACCATCATAAATATGAACCAGTTTTCAAGCGTCTGAGTGTAAATCACATGACCATGGGGCTGCTGCAGTGTGAAAAAAAGTGTGAAAAATGGTCGGATTACTGCATGTTTAACTAAACATTGCAAAAAGGAAACTGGCAGTAGCACCGAGAAGCACATCTATTCCCACTAAATTCCATGTAAATTCTGTAGGTGTTCATAGAAAAGAAAAACGGTGGGTGTTTGCAAGCAATCTACTTTGTTTGCAAATGTGTCCATGATGTGCACCCACCTCATTAGGAGTATTCTTTTCTGTCTTTTTTTTAAATTAAGCAAAATTCTGTTTACTCTGGGAGATCTTTATAGGGCCCTTTCTTTCTGCCAGCGTTAAATCTTGTTTTGATGGAGATTTTTTATTTTCTTTTATCTCCAGAGTAACATAGCTAAGTAGAATATGGGAAACATATAGAACAGCAGAGTCCGTTGGTTATCTTTAAAGAAAGGAATAAACTAAGCATTTAAATGCTTCTTTAAAAGCTTTGTTAGATTTTTACATTGTATGAAGCAGGATTTTCAGCCCCTGAGCAGAGATACACTAATACACATCCTGTGCTGAGCCTCCTTCGATCCTTTGAGGCCAGTGGTGGGATTCAATTTTTTTTTACTACTGGTTCTGTGGGCGTGGCTTGGTGGGCGTGGTAGGGGAAGGATACTGTAAAATCTCCAATGAGAGGTGGCATTTGCCGGTTCTCTGAACTACTTAAAATTTCCACTACCGGTTCCCCAGAACTGGTCAGAACCTGCTGAATCCCACCTCTGCTTGAGGCACCTTGCACTCCTTACCTTTCTGTATTACTTCTCCACTCAGGGGCTGCTTCCCTCTAGTCTCTGGGGGCTGACTGAAAAAGCTGCCTGCTGAAGGATTTCAGCTCCGGAGCTCCTTGGAGTTTTGAAATCCTTTGGTAGGCAGCTCTTTTTGCCAGCCTCCAGAGATGAGAGGGCATCTTCTTGGCACACGACAGCAGCTTGCAACATTCCCTGCAGGTTTCCCCATTGACTTTCTGGGGCAGTTGGCAGAGAAATGGTGATGACATGACCATGGGGTACTTGGCAACTACAGGTAGTCCTCAACTTATGACCACAATTGACCCCAAAATTTATGTTGCTAAGTGAGAAATTTGTTAATTTTGCCCCATTTTATGACCTTGTTAAGTGTTGTTAAGTGAATCACTGCAGTTGTCAAACTAGTAACGCCGTTGTTAAGTGAATCTGGCTTCCCCATTGACTTTGCTTGTCAGAAGGTTGCAAAAGGTGATCACATGACCCCAGGACACTGCAACCGTCCTAAATATGAGCCAGTTGTCAAGCGTCTGAGTGTAAATTACATGTCCATGGGGATGCTGTAACAGTCACAAGGATGAAAAACGGTGTATAAGTTACGTTTTTCAGTACCATTGTAATTTTGAATGATTGCTAATTGAACTGTTGTAAGTCCAGGACTATCTATAGTTATAAGAGCAACAACTTGCTCAGATTACAATCATGCTCAGAGGTGCTTTGCAGCAGTGGTGGTATTCTACTGGTTCGGCTAGGTTCGTGCGGACTGGTAGTAAAAAATGCTACCGTTCGGCCAAACCGGTTGTAAAAAAAACAGCTACCGGTTGGGCCAAACCAGTATTTCTTATTTTTCCCTCTCCTGACAATCAGCTGTTTTGTGCTGGGATCTCCCTCGCTATCTTACTGATGCCCATGAGGCAAAAAAAATGGAGCAGTGGAGGGCTGCACCCCCCCGTGCTCTGGGTTTTTTTTGCCTCCTGGGCCTCAGGGAAGCCTCCTGGGAGCAAAAACAGCCTCCCAGGAGTCAAACAAAGAACCAAAAAAAAAATGGAGCACGGGGGAGGAGGTGCTGCAAAAAAAACAAAAGAAGAAGAAGAAGCCAGGCCCACCCAGTCATATGGCCACGCCCACCTAGCCACGCCCACCTAGCCACGCCCACAGAACCGGTAGTAAAAATATTTGCGTCCCATCCCTGCTTTGCAGGCTCTAAAGTATCCTTTCTGAGGCTATTGTTTATTCTAACCCTTGTTAACTGAATGATCGTAAGTGGAAGATTACCTCCAGAGATAAAAGACAAAGATAGAAGAAGAGCAATATAGAAACGTTAGCTTCTAATAGAAAGAGAAAAGCAGGCAAACCAGCCACAGGACAATAGTGCTGAAAGTCTTAATTCCAGAGGTGTGAAGGAATATGAGCTGGATTCAGAGAAGCAGAAGTATAAAGAATAAAAGAGTTATTAAAAAATACCTGAGTTCCTACGGACGTATAAGAAAGGAATCTGAAACAACTCACCTTGCTTGTGCTAAGTATAAACTGAAGAAGAGATGGGCTTGGACAGATTCCCTAACCACATGAAAGCACATCCCCAAACACTCAGCAATCCTGTTTTCTACCTTTGCCTAAATCTGAGGGCTGACAGGAATACCTGCCAAGGGAATGAACCAGAGCTGACATTAACAGAGGACTTCCTCTTTGTCAGGAAAGGGATTTTCCTGTTCTTCCGTAGTCCTAATAGTCAACGGATTGGAGGCGGGTTAGGAGTTTTCTGATTCTGCCATTTCCTTAAGTAGCCCAATAAGAAACCATCTCAGCATGTGTCACTTGGGATTATAGCACACAGCTATTGTTACCACAACGCACCTGTTCAAATGGACTTTTGCTTTTGAGTCCACTCCCACCAAGGAATATCCAGTTGTCTCGAAAACCCACCTGGGAAGCATATTTGCTTCCTAAGTCAGAAAATAACTTCCGGGCTTCATCATTTAGCCTGAGAGACAGAAAATTATTTTGTCATATATTTTCCCCTTTAACACAGCAATTTAAACAGTGGAGGATAACAGCTGCAGAATTAGCAAATTGATCAGTTCAGCACTTTACAATGCAGCCTTTCAGAAGACAGAAGATCCATCTGTACAAAGCTCATTCAGACTGCAGATCTCCTTACTCTCTGTCGGCCAAATCTGTTGCATAAAATATTTCCTCTTTTAGCTATTACCATTCATCCATGGAACAGCTCTGTGGTTCCCAGAGCCAAAGGTTTTAGGAGCTTCCCTCTCTATCCAGGCAGATGGAGAAGAGAACCACCCTTAAATTTTCCCTTTGTAGGCCTGTCTGTCTCTATTATCCTTGTTGTTTTGCAAGAAACTATCAAAACAGGATGTTTTGAATTGGGATTCTGAATACTCTTAAGCTAGTGTGAAACAAAGAAAAAAACCCAAAACAAACAGATTTTGGATTCATTATATCCCAAACCATCCTTTTCCAGAAAAGTAGAAGTAAGACTGGAAGTATTTTAGCCATGAGGAATGAACCTTCCTCCCTCCCTCCTCCCTCCCTCCCTCCTTCTTATCCATCATTTGTTGCTGATATACTCCTATATTCCCTGGAGTTACTTCCACTGCATTGCAACATGCTTAGGACAGTACTGAATACCAGAGCACTAGTAATCCAAACTTCTTTACTATCCATTTAAATAAGGTAGAATTTTTGCACAATATCTTCCCATATTTCTGCAGCTGAAAAAAACAAAAACTTCAGAGCCATTTATAGTTGCAGTATCTTGCAACTTACAGAAGCCTGTCTTCAATTAATTTTATATATTAACATAAATTGCCCATGAGCCTTTAAAAATAATGTTTATTACTTTTCTTTCTGTACTATATAAATAAGCAGAGCAACAAAGAAAAACACCTCTGGAACTTATGTTATAAACAAAAGAATCCCACAAACATTGCCTGCATGTTTTGAAATTTGTCCTTTTTCTTGCTTCTTTGTCAAAAAAAGACAAATGGAAACACTGATAAGCAACACATATCAATAATCCCAATGTTAACAAACAAAATGTACAATTTCCAGTCTTGTCTAATTATTTCTTTAGCCAAATACATGCTGCCAAGGCCTACAGTGCTCAAAACTGTGGCTATAGCTAAGAGGAATATAAGCACCTTTTAAACAACAATTGATCTACAGCCATGATGGCAAACCTATGGCACAGAGCCATTTGTGCTGGCATGCGAGCTGCAGGCAAACTTACCTCACTGCGCATGCGTGTGCCTTACAGCTGATTTTCGGCCAGTTTGAGGCCTTTTTCGGCCTCCCAGAGGCTTGAGGAAGGCTTCTGCAAGCTTTGCAGGCCAAAAACCAACCCCATTTCATCACTTCCTGTTTTTCCGAAAATATCGGAAGTGACTGAAATGGGGCAAGTTTTCAGCCTGCAAAGCCTGCAGAAGCCTGCAGAAGCCTTCCTCAAGCCTCAAACAGAAAGCAGAAAAAGGCCTCAAACCAGCTGAAAATCAGCTGTGAGGCACAGTGCAGGAAAGGGGGCGGCAGGGGGTGGGTGGTTGGGTGGGGATTGTGCACGCATACGTAGGGGGTGTGGGGGGGCACACATTGCCTTCTGGGTGCTGGCACGTGAGCGCAAGCATGCAAGCGCATGCACAATTTTTGGCACAGGAGCCCAAAAAAGATAGCCATCACTGATCTAGAGTCATAGTAATAAATCTGGCAACATTAGTCCAAAACATGTAAATAATAGGATAAGACCTAAACAAACAAGTTAATGTCCCTATTCCTGAGTTAGATATCCAGCAATAGTATAACTAACATTTACTAAGGATTTTCTGAGATATCCATTATATTTAAACAGTTACATCGTTATATTCATGTCCTGTTAAGATCCTGGAATCATATTTATCTGGTATAATGCAGTCTTTCATTCCTTTATCAGAACAGGATATTCAAGCTTGTTACTCCAAAGGTCAGGGAAATAATATCAATTCCTTCAATTGTTTATTAAATGTGTTACTGGTTTAGGAACGACAGACCCTTCAACTATTTCAAAAGGGCAATTTATGAAATTTATTCATTATCTTGCATGTTAATTGAAAGTAATGTGATTAATAAAAAATAACACAGTGAATAGGTTCTCTCACAATATATGTCAACCTTGAAGGTATATTCATCTTAGTTGTTATCCTATATGTTGGAATTCATTTTTGGAATGTATTTTTGTGCAATGACTATATACAGCCAGTAGATGGCAGTGTTTACAAGTTTGGATCTATGGTATATACAGGGGTGGGATTCAAATTTCCTAACAACCACTTCTGTGGGCGTGGCCTAATTTGGTGGGTGTGGCTTTATGGTCATGTAACTGGGTGGGAATGGCTTGCTGACTGGGCGTGGCTTGGTGGTGATGTGACTGGCCGGATGTGGCTTGTATGTAAATATTGTAAATATTTATGTAAATATTGAATTTTTTATAAAAAAAGAGCAACTTTTACCCAAAATCAACCAAAGCAGGCAGGCAGATTGAGTTGCTCGCAGAATCACAGATTCACTCAGAGATCTATCTTTCTGCAATCTGCTACCTGAGTCTGCACTGAAAAATAGAAGCTTCAGTCCTAAGGAAGGTTCAGCTCTGTTTTTAGATTAGCTACAAAGCAAGAAAGCCAACAATTGCCTGCTTTCTAGCTAATCTAAACCTCCCTGCACAGCTGATAGTTGGAACAGCTGATTGTGGGGCAAAAAAAAAAAAAGGAAAAATAGCAAATTACCCAAAATTAGGCGAAAGCACAAGTCAGGCAAGTTGGGTGGCGTGTATGCCAGGTAAGGAGTGAATAGGCAGGCCGGGGAGGGTTGGGGCCAGTCAGTAGTTGCAATTTGCTGGTTCTCTGAACTGGGCAGAATCATAACAACCGGTTCTATAGAACTAGTCTGATCAGGCAGAATCCCACCCCTGGGTATATACTCTATGTTCTTTTGTTCTAAGTAGAGTTTTCTGTTTCAGTTAAAACAGTTAAGCAGTAAAGCACATGATGACTGTACACTTTATTTGAGGCGTGGTGCTATATATAATCAGAATTTCTAACAGAATTTCTAACACGTACTCAATACTCAACTACCCATCTGTCTTATTTCCTCTGCATCAAAAGAAGGATATTAACAACTGAGAACTGATCTTGGTGTATTTTGGTAGGAGATGTAAAGAGCAGTGTCATACTGAGGATCATATAATGCTTACATCACTAACAGGAACTTTTAATATGGATCTCTTTGTGTGTTATTTCTATGTAAACAAATTACAGCACAGGACTAATAAAATGAAAGAAATGGTTTACTTACTTTGTTGCTGGGTCATCATAAGAGGCAAGGAGCACAAGGGTGCCTTTGCTAATTCCTTTCATAAAATCCAGCAAATTCTTAATATCTTACAGAGAAACCAAGGAAAAAAAGTTTGCAAGCTACTTATTATGAACATCTGAGATATAGAAAATGTAACTAATAAAGGAAATCACAGTGTTTCTTAACAAATAATGTAACAACCCCCCAACAAAAATAAAGCAACCAAATGCCATAGGTAAGCTTGGGCTTTCCAGATGTTGGCTGTACTGTATAGAATTCTAGAAACTGCATCTGGAGAAGAGTTCTGTATGCAAGAATAATCCCATAGACCGATCCAACCTGCTTTGCTTTGTTTGAAGACCTTTGAGATAGGCACAATAGGAAAGAGATACAATAGACTACAATGGAAATAGGTACAATAGACTACAATGGAGATAAGTACAATAAACTACAATGGAAATAGTTCAATAGACTACTGTGGAAATAGGTACAATAGACTACAATAATTACAGAAATTCAACCTGGAGGTTACCCAGTTTATGAGTTTTAGCCTGTATTCAGAAGTTACAAGGACCTACAGAAGTATATTAATATTAACCAATAATATAAGCTAACCAGCTTAACAATTTCTTTGTTTTATGGAAATTTTCTTATACTTTCAACTCCCTTTAACCTTCAGTGTTGCACTATTAATACATAACGGATTAACAATTTCACATACCTCCAGAATACATGTCAAAGCTATCTATTTTGATGACTTGTCCCGTGATTCCTGGAGATTGAAGTGAAACACAAGTTTTAATGAAACATGTTTATAAAGTATGTGCACTTAGTTCAGTCTCTGGAATGATGGAAAAATGAAATAAAAATGTCAAAGGCTAAAATTAATTGGTTATCAAAAGCGCAACATATTTTCAATATGGGTGGAAGTATACGATAAGAATTATTTTCCCAGCATTCTGTGCATTCTCCCTTTTGTCCTGTTGCTAAAACTGCTAAAGACAGGTTTTGTGCTTGTTCTTGGGACATGGCCAAAATCTACAAAATGAACACAGATAATTTTAAAAGAAATGAACATTCAAAGTATGAGGAACTATGTAAACAAGGATGATAAGTTTTCCAGGATGTTGAAATTGCCATTGTAATAAGAATTGCTTCTTATGGGCAAACAATTCTCATACTCTGCTTCTCACTGAAAAAATCTTGTAGATTTTTGAATCAATACTCCAGGGAAGGTGAATGTGTGAGCCTGAAAGTGTTGCCACTTTTTTTCTAAAGTGCTTGAATCTTCCAGTTATCCGAATATAAATTGTGTATCCTTCATGAAAATACTATAACTCAATAATCAAATACTGCAAAGCCTGACTCAAACAATTTGTAGGAATTTCTATTAAATGTTTAACAATATTAACTATTGCTAAAGGTCCCACCTATGGACACTTGGTATAAGCAGGAGCTATAGGATTTCTTCCTCTTCAAAATGTATTTGTTAAATGGATAATTATTTGTAAAAAGTCATGTTTTGGCCCCCAAGGTGACAATCTCCTTTCTAGCTCCCTGTGGATTCAGAGGCCTCTCCAAATTGGAGGGGGGGAAAAAAAGGATTATTTTAAGGAGTGACTGGGCAGGGAAGAATGCTGTCAGCAATATCGGGCATGCACCCAATGTTGCGGAGGGGAGGGGCAGGTGGAGAGGGGCGGGGCCAGCCAGGGCCACAATTTGCTGGTTCTCTGAACTGCGCAGAATTGTAACAAACAGTTCTATAAAACCAGTCCGAACTGGTAGAATACCTGAGCACAACCTCCTTTGTTGCCAACTCAGATATGTTTCCTGATATGCAGACAAGATGGTGATAACACTGGTGATGATACTACAGTATATACAATTGTGTACCACATATGTGTACATGAGGCACATGATCATTTATATCTAGAGATACACTTTTTATTACTCCTTTTAGAGTCAATTGCTCTTTCTGTACCTTGCTGCACTGTATCTCACCCATTCAAATTCTGCTCATTTATTCCAGTCTTGACTCACTTAGAAGGATATGGCTTTTTTTGCCATTTGCAGTCTCAGGGCCTCCTAGGGCTTTCTTCCCATATATTGATCTTGAATAACTACAAGTTTCTTCTTATGTTACAAAGACATGTGATATCTGATTGGACTTTCCTTTCTGGTCTACAGTCTCACAGTAGGAGACGGACCAGAGATTTCCTCTCATTAACTGTATCTATAGTGGCCCATTCTTCCCCCTTTTTTAGTATTAATTTTTATTGAAGAATCCTTTTACAGAAAGTTTGAATATTTTATCCTTTCAGTTTACTTACAATATATTGTGGGTCACTTCTTTCCATACTCTATCCTTTCTAATCATTAAAACCAAGTTTGTTTTATTTTCCATTTTCAGCAAAAAGAAAAGAAAGGGAGGGGGGTTCTGTCATTTCCAGATATATTGTTGTCTTTTCCCAAATCAAACAAGTCAATTTTGACATCTCTGCAAATTCTGTTATCTTCACCAACCATTCCCTCGTTGTGGGGATTCTCTTCCTTTATAAATAGAATTTATGATTAAGCTACAGAAAGGGTTTATGAAGTCTTTAACAGTGCCAAAGTCCATTGGGCTTGCCAGATGTCATACTATCTCAAGGTTAGCTTAATTATCATAAAAACAATCTGTTTTTATATCATTTTATGATTCCAGAGCATTGTCTGTTTCCTCTTCCCTTCCATCATCAGAGCAGGCCATTTTTGAAGGGTAGAAATAGATTACATTGGAGTCGTTGGTGCTCTCTGAACTTGGGAGTTTCATGACCAACTAGATATAATCTTCAATGCACATCGTCATCATTAGTTGGGCACTGATGATGATACTCAGTTGGGTAATGAAATGTCTGCAGGCAAACAACCGAGCTCAGCGAGAGAGTACCAAGGACTCCATAGTTCAACCCTGGTCTACATATATTGTCTTCTATTGGAATGAATGACTTTATTCTTCACTCACACACCTTCCAATGTGAATGTGACCTCTTGGCATTTTTAAGCATTCTTTTCCTTCTGATGTTGCCTCAGCTGCTCTTGTCTCTTTTGGTTGGTGCATTTCACTTTGTCAGAGCTAATTCCTGCAGTTCATTAGCTATTTCACAGGGGCAGGAATAACCCGCATCTAAATCAATGGTTACCAGGATTTCTAATATCTTCTAATATCTAACAACACAATGGCTATAACACTTGTCCTATAAATAGAAAGTTGCTCATTTGAAACCTGGCAGAAGCACTGCCGTTTACAAAAAATACTATTTCCCCCCATAACCTACCTACTTTTCCCTATCCTTTTTTTAAAGTATTAAATACATTCAGTGGTGCACCATTTCAATATTTTCCTAGTTATTTGGGGTAGAAGAGTTTCAGCTGTGTTGTCCTGTGAATTAGCCAACAAACTGTTGAGGTTAGCTTGTAATAAAGTGAAATATATCAGCTAACTTGGAAAGGCATGTTCACGGTAACATAAATGGGAAAGGAGAATTCTAACCTTTAGCAATGGGGTGATGGGGAACATAAAGTAATGTTATCTCTCCCTGTCCTACAAACAGATTGCTCACCCAATTTGGTGATGAGACAGTTGTGAAATGGGGATAAACCCTGAGTGAGAAAGACTGAAATATTTCCTAGGCAGGAATATCCAATTAGAATGCTTGTTCCACTCATATAGAAGTACAGAATGATAGTGGTAGTAGTACTTTCCTCAAAGTTATAGAGAAGCTAAGGTATTTTCACTGGTTGCAGTGAACCAGCATTGATTTGGAAATAGCATCATGTGAATGACATAGCCATGTTCAGTAGCAGACAAAGGGAGAAATCTTCATATGATAACAGTATTTAAGACTGGGGCCCTTAAATGGCAAGCAAATCCATCAGTTCTAGAATATAAATTCAAATCATTTCAATACTGTACAGAAAAATCCCTACTTTTTGAATTAAGCCTTTCTTGTGGATAATAACCCTCATCTCCCTCCCACTTGTGACTGTATGACTGGAAATTTGTCGCTTGTATCCTTACGATTTATATTGACTGTTTCCTAGTATGATTTGATTGCTTATTGTACCCTATGACTATTATTTAGTGTTGTACCTTGTGATTCTTGACTCTTTACGAATGTAGCTTTTCTTTTATGTACACTGAGAGCATTTGCACCAAGACAAATTCCTTGTGTGTCCAATCACACTTGGCCAATAAAGAATTCTAATCTAATCTGGGAATAGATTCCTACTGGGAACAGGAGAGAAATGTACTTGATTAAACCCAAGCCTATCTCACTTTGCATTTTTGAACCAATGTGAATCAAAACATGCTTCTTTATTCACAATCCATATATTTCTGAATTTTGCAACACAATTTCATTTTCATTGCAATTTTTCAACAAGTAGAAATGAGGGGAAAATCTTTATTTTCTCCCTTGCTTTCTCTTCTGTCTGTCTATCTGTCTGTCTGTCTGTCTGTCTATCATCTATCTATCAACTATTATCTATCTATCTATCTATCTATCTATCTATCTATCTATCTATCTATCTATCTATCTATCTATCTATCTATCTATCTTGCCTGTTTCTGTTAACAGTGAAGAGCAATGCATTATTAGTAGCAGCCCCTGCCCTGTGAAACATTTTCGCCCTTGAGATCTGGCAGGGCTCCAGCCTCTTAGCTTTCCTGAAAGTCATTAAGAGTTGACTCCTCCACTACCCCGAAGCATCAGGGAAGCAAAACCCAGGGAACTGTATAGTTGGATGGATGCTGTTGTCTGGGCACCAGTTTTTCATATTTGTTTGTTAACTTGTTTTATTTTTGTGCTTTTATTATTGTTGTTAGCCACTCACGGTTGTGTCTCACAAGATATAAATCTAACAAGCAAAGGAACAAATAAGAAAACAAATAATCCTAGGGAAACTGCACAATAACACCAGCCATCTTTCTGTAAGTGTCTATGATTCTCCTGCATAGTTTGTGCTTTACATGGCTATGTGACCACTCCTGGGATTTAAGCAAAGGAACACAAAAAGTGATCTGCATACAAATACGCACTTCCCCAAAACCATTAAAGCAGATTTGTTCTGGAGATGGCTAGAAGAATGCAGCTGTTCTACATCTCCTCATCTGCACCCATGCCTTTTAAATGTTCTGGCAATTTTTCTGACTAGACAGAACTCCCATAATTAGTAGGAAACAATACACTGAATTCACTTCAAAACAGCACTCCAACTGGAAGCCTCATTGATTTCAGAAGGAGCAATTAAGAAAACAGGACAAGTCACATCAAATATGATTGAACCTTTGGAAAAACTCACCATTAATAAGTGCTATGTTCAAACCTCGTCCGACGTTATTTTTCACATTGCTCATTAGTCTAAACATGCAAATGAAGAGAGAGATTGAGTGTTGAAGTTCAACCAGCATGACCGGTAAATGCAAAGCCACAGTCTAATAAAATGAATATGCAGAAGTACATCGACTGCACCGAACTTACATATTGCCATCAAAGCATATGGAAGGACCGACCACATTTGCTGCACCACTGATGATTTTGAATGAAAAAGTATGTCCAGGACATCGTTTTTTGTTATTGCACTTATTTTGTGTTAATGGTGTTTCTGGCAAGAAAATTCAGAAGGGATTAAAAAAATGTATCCTTTAAGTTATATTATGTGAGAGATCTCCATTTCTCTGTTCATTGTGACCCTTGTACCACATCATTGACCCAAACTCTATACAGGTAAGTCCTTGATGTACAACCATTTAGTGACCATTCAAAATTATCATGGCACTGATTTTTTTTTTTTTACAACCAATCCTTATGACTGTCACAGAATTCCCCACAAGTCACATGATCAAAATTTGGGTGCTTGTATTTACAATGGTTGCAGTGTCCTGGGGTGTGTTTGTGTGTGTGTGATATGATTACCATTCATGATCTTCCCAGCTGGCTTCTACCAAGCAGTCAGTTGGGGGGAGCCAGCTTCCCTTAACAATCACACGTTGATTTGCTTACCAGCTACAGTGGTTCACTTAAAAACCATGGCAAAACAGGTCATAAAATTGTGCCTGACTCACTTAATTGCCTTGCTTAGCGATGGAAATTCTGCTTCCACTTGTGGTCATGTATCAAGGACTAGCCTGTACATTTCTCCAAAATATTTCCAAATTATTTTATGGGTGCATGGACCAAGAATGATATTGGCCATCTTAGGTTTTCTGTTGAACTTCCATTTTGGTTTGTGATAGGCCTTTTTTGTCTGTTTCCATCCAGTGATGTCTCTCTTCTTTCTGAATGGTCAGGGCAAAGCCTTGTGAGTAACTTTCTGCTGGAAAACATATCAACAACCTTAATTTTATTGAGATACCAGCTGACAGGGTCAAGGCCAGAGTTTGGCTGTCCTTAGGGCCACTACTGATGTCCATTTGATAGGTCCAGTTGGACAATACTGACTGGAGAACTGTCTCTACCACAGCCAGATAACCCTGCCATGCATCATTGAAGGTAGAAAGGATGCCAATGACCCCTCCAAATGTGGAGTCAGCCGTGCACCTGATGAGGAAAAGAAAGGAACTAAGTCTCAGACACGAATAGGTGAAACTCTATTAGTGTTAGTGATCATGTCTGAGTGTGAACTGTCTTAAAACCACCATTGTTGGGGGTAGAATTTGGTAGTTTGGATTAGATGAAAAATGACCAGACACACCAAGAAGGATTTATTGGGCTTTTATCTAAGGGACCAAGTATATGGGCTCCTTTGCTTTCTGTACCAATACATTTGGTAATGAAAGGAAAGAGAAAGAAGCTGTTTTGTCCAGGCTCTTAATTGAGGGGGAAAATATTGTGGCAGCTTTTTTCTTCTCATCTTTACAAGAAAGGAGACAAAGATGTACATGGAGAAAAATGTTGGTTGGAGCAATGAGAAGGAAACTAGGCTTTGGGCATTCTGGGGATGACCAATGTTTCTTCTCAGGGGTTTTGTCCTGAAAATTATAATCACAGAAAACAGAGATCTGCAGAACTAGCATTCTGATGTAAAAGTAAAAAAAAAAGGGTTAAAAAATAATACCAAAAGAAATGTACTCACTTTTATTTAATTCAGTGTTGGACCCTACAGAAGCCATCAGAAAAGACAAAACAAAATATTTTGAATCAGATTAGAATCAGCTCTCTTATTGATTGTTTTATGAATGGATTTGAAAGCTTCTGGGATAAGAGGGACCAAAATCTTTTGGCCTCATTCATTTAAAAGTTGACCACTAAAATATACTATTGATTACAGTATAGTTCCCTGCCCTCATAAAAAAAAGCCTCTGAGGTAACTCTCATGCTTTGTAAGCAAAGAAAAGTTTTGCCTCACAAAATCCTAGGGGTTATTTTTTGGTAAAAGTAAGAGATAATGGAAATAGATATTGCATGCTTCCATGATTCATCAAAATAGATACAATAAGGTTGGAAGATAGCAATTTCCCCTCAAAGTCTAGCGGCCTGAAGAATTCATTTTATTCTCTATATTTAAATAAGATGTTATCACTAAGACTCCTAAAGGATTATTTATAAATTTAAATAATTTATCTCTTTAATTTCCCACTTGTTTCCCATAATTGAGTGAACTGATAAGCCCTAATAATTTAATTGCATAACACGGCATGAATGCATATGTGAACAGTTTTTATAGCAATTGAAAGATGAAGATTTTTTGGCAGTGTTTTCCTTCTCTTTTACTTCCTTCTCTTTCATGTATATAATCAAACGTATGAAAGAGATCAGTGGTGGGTTTCAAAAAATTTCCTACCGGTTTGGAGAGCTCACTTCAAACCGGCTGAATACCACTTCTGAAAGAGATGCCATTGCAGTGAAATTTGACTAGTTGGCTGTGTTGATGAAATTCAGCAGAACAGCTGGATGCAATGGTGCAATTTCCTACCACTTGAAGATTAAGGAGTACTGAAGAGAAGTGATGGGATTAATTGGTCTCCAGAAGACTTTCATTTCCATTGTAAAATTCACAAAATTTGCCTCAATACTTGCAATAATATCACACACTCACAACCTTCTTCAGTCTTCCAGAAGTTCAGGAGGCTGAGCTATGACTCTTGAACTGCAAAGTTACCCAAGTCTCATCTAATAAAAAATCCAATTTGACTTTGGAGACCAACAATAGAATTATGCAGAACTTCAGTCTTGTAATCTGATGTCTGAAAGCAGGGAAGAAGACATAAGTGTAGTCATAAGCTCTCAAAATCCTTGTTGTGCTTTATTTTCCTAGGCTGAGTAAAAAAAAATCCCCAAAGGATCTTTTATTTGTGCCTTTTGGATCTTAAGTAGAACCAACATGACTAGAGAAAATTATTAAAGGCAGCTTCTCAATTTGGTGAAAATTCTGCTGATACTCACAAGTGGAATCTCCGTTAGATGTTTTTCCTTGACTTGCAAGGGTGTAAGTGGATGGAGATTAGGAAGTGGAGGATTGAATTTGCATGTAAAAAAGAGTGTATATCTCTAATAACTTTTAGCCCTGAGATGATATGAGCATACCAAACATTTATTAACTCACATATCTACCTGGCCACAGTTCAAAGACTTTCAGGGGCTAACATTAGCAAATATTTGCCAAATTCAGACAGAAATTCAGATGATTGATTTGTTCAACATTTTCTCTACTGGTTCTCATTAAAAGAAAACATCAAAGCAGTTTAATCAGTACAAAACAATATAAAGCAGGAAAACAGGAAGGAACAAGAATATTATGAATCCGAAACATTATCTCTGTACTATATTCTAATCTAGCAGAAGCCAGAAACAGCATCTGGTCCCAGGGTCCACACATGATCCCACCAAGACAAATAATTCCAGGGATGAATGTTTCAAGTGAAGAAACGCTGTTCACATGTTGACCTTATTTCCAACCATCCTCTATCCAATCTTCCTCTGCTCTGATGGAAGCTATTGCTATAATCTTCTTCCGCAGAAAGGAAGTTTTTTTCTATTTACAGTAGAGAGAAAAGACAACCCTTCCTAATTTTTCTTAGAGGAATGTTCAATCTGAGTCACATCTTAAATACAGAAGGAAAATTTGATCTTTTCCTGAATATGAGCCTGGGGAAATTGTAGGAGAAGACCTGCTTTGTCTTATGGTGACAAAAAATCAGGAGTCCAATTGGTTCTTTTCTGACCAAAAGCCACATATTTGTATGAGCTGCAGCTCACTTCCTCTAATGAAGTTAAATCAGATAAAGGGACTACCAGGAGCCTCTGGAGGCTGGTGGAAAATACTTGTCTTCCATCTTCCATGGCCTTTTGGACTTCTAGGGAGAATAAGCAATAAGGACTGCATCATCTGAGTATATTAATTTTGTGATATTGCAGCCTGCTAATTTGAAGGCATTATTGTCAGAGTTGTTCACTGGTTCAATCATGACGTTAATGAACAGATTAAACAGGGAAGGAGAAGCTGTATATTTATCAACCCAGAGAGCAACCTTAGTTGTTACATCCGACTCTCAGAGAGTAATTAATGCTTTGTTTAGGTATCAAATAAAGTAGATATATGTCATAATAGTCTTCTAGAGATTATCCAGAAAATGTTCCTGTTGACAGAATCAAAGGCATTAATTTTCTGCAGCGAACTGAATGCCATACAAGTCTCCTCCCATTTGCTAAAAAAGAATTGATGGAGAAAAAAAGAAGTTGGGCATATCAAGAAAACATTTTGGGAAATGTATATTTAGCTATGGAATGGAGACACACACACACACACACACCCCATTGTTGCAGAGAAAGGATCATTAGAATAAAATATTTATAGCTCAGGATTGAAGTGTGAGGTCATTGGTGCTCTCTGAGCTTGGTTGTTTTATTGCAGTTGTTTCATTTACCCACCTAGATAATCGAGCAAACCCCTCTCCCTTCCAGTACTGATGTTGTTATCTAGTTGGGTAATAAAGAAGTGCAAGAAAACAACCAAGCTCAGAATAGGACCTGATCCTTCAGGACATAATGGGATTTAACCCACTATCATTTAGCAGAAGACCCAGAAAATACAGAGCTCACTACACTGCACAATCTCCTAAGGGTATTTCAGTCATTGCATCATCTCAGAGCAGTCAAAATTTCAACCAAACTTGGGAGCTCAGACGAACACCTAGGATTTACATTTCCTCTCCTACCTATAGAGCTGGTTATGACCCCCTACATAGGGGTCTGACAACAGCCAATAGAATGCATGTTTTTTCAAAGGAACAGGAAGCTCAAATAGAAAGCCCAAAGAAGGTATAGAGAAGGTATAAAAACCACCCACTCTCAACTCCATTTTGTCAGCTACCCAGAACCACAAACCCAGTGGTTCGGCTTCATCAATAAACCATTTTTTCCAATCAGCTTCCCTGTTTCCAGTGTCCCATCTTGGAACTTGGAACCAGGTGGATATTTTTTTCCCAACAAGGTCATGCAGACAAACCATACTTCCCAGGACTCTACAGTTTAGATTGAAAAGATGGAAAGCAGCAAAAGAGTCTCTTTCCATTCTTTTCGTGGCCTTTCATTTGCTAAGCTGGCAGAGCCTAGTGGGCAAAAGAAGAAGGGAAAAAATGGAATGGAGCGGAGATGAAAGAAGTATATAATTTATTATAACTTACTCAGCCATGTCTTCAAATTGATTGAATGCATGCTTGTGTTCTTCAAAAAGGTGCTGGCAAAAAGCCAAGTTGCAGCTAAGGTAAACAGCACCACAATGATCCTCAACACACCTAGGCCAGAAGGAAGACAAGGTCAGGTACAAGATAAATTGAGCAAGCTGGGTGTGTTACTAAACTCATAAAAACTAATCCTTGCTCTGCAGCCTAAATGTCAACAATGTCACCTCTTCAGTTAGTCAAATAAAGTGTGACGTTTTAGAATTGGCATGCTATGGATGAATCGATTTTTTTTCAGCTAAGAAATATCAGAAACTCTTCTAGTATTGTCTATTCTCACTGGAAGCAAGAATCCAAAATCTCAGGGAGAAGGGTGTGTCTCCTTTTGTGTGTCATCTGATTTTCATGCAATCTATTCAGAGGTGGTATTCAGCAGGTTCTGACCAGTTCTGGAGAACCGGTACCTGAAATTTTGAGTAGTTTGGAGAACTGGCAAATACCACCTCTGACTAGAGAGTTTACCATATCCTTCCCCTGCCACGCCCACAGAACTGGTAGTAAAAAAATTTGAATCCCAGCACTGAATCTATTCAAAAGTCCATGGTTAAAACAGTCCATGGCTTATGGCTTGTTCAACCTCTGCCAAGATTCATACATTCTACCAAGTCACACTGTGGTTTGTTTGGATTTTGTGAATTGTAAACCATGGCTTATGGTTTGGCATGATGTGTAAAACCAGCCACCAAGTCATTATGCAGCTATTCGTGAATCAGCCAATAAACAAGGATGAGAAGATGGAAAATGAAAGAAGCTCTGAATAATGGAGGTCAGAATGGAGAAAATAGGTAAGACAAAGCTAGGTCGGGGCAAACCCAAGTGCTGAATTCACTCCTTTATATTTTCAAATAACAAAATTACATTTTGTGAGGAAAACTTTCCTCACAAAACCCTGGAAAATTAACAAGGATGAGCTACCCGTTTTTGGAAGGACTATCATAACGAACTTATATAAAGATAAGAGATAGTGAGGAGGAGGAGGAGGAGGAGGAGAAAAAGTGGCCACAGATTTCTGAAATACAGTACACCTCATAAAACCTTAATCTAAGGAAAATATTAAGGTCCCCAAGAATGGAACTTTTCAGTTCATTCTCTGAATCCCTATTTAACACAGTATGCTGAAGCAAACTCATAAAGAGAGAAACAAAGACAGATGTTAGGCTGTAGCAAAGTTTTGCTTTAGAGCCCGAACCTTGCCATCTTTCTACAGAATAAATTTTGTATCAACCTAGAAGTTTTGAATTCTCCAGGTCATTTACTTAAGGAGACAATCCATGGACTTGATTATTCCAGCTGTGAGCATTCTTACAAATTCCCATGCTAGGTGATACCAACTTTGGGAGATGCATATTTTATGTTTCTGTTTTAATTACTTTTGCATGCCACAAGGATTGTCACGGATGTTGCAGTTTAGAAGTCAAACAAATAATCAGATGTTTGTTGGGAAGAAGGGCACAAAATGCCATTTTCTATTCTTGCCAGCCAGGGGTTTTAAAATACGAATCTGCCCCTCCGGGCAGACCACCGGCTTAGACAGAGAGAATAGTGACCAATATATCACCAGAGGGCTACAATAAGGACTGCTAGAGAGGACAAAGCACAGTTCCTTTGGGTCAATAATTCACACTCAACCTGTAATGTTATGGGGAAATGGTATTGGAAGATGGGGGAGAGCTACAGTCGGTCAGATAAGAGGTAGCTTAGCCTGCAGAAAGAATGTGATTGTGGCAAGTGGCACAGACTGTCTCTAGCTTCTTGGGCTGTTAAGAGGAGCCCAAAAAGTTGGGCTGTTGTTGGGCTGCAACAGGGGAGAAATCCACTTTTAGATTTGCGGGATTCCGTTAATGTAGCCTTACAATAAAGTAGACTCTGGTCGTATTTCCTGTCCACACACCCCCACACAAGGCTGACACAACTCCATCTAATTAATATGGTGGTAGAGAAAATGGGAGGAAAATTAAGCCAACCCTACAACCGTAACTCAAATCCTCTGCCTGCTTTTTCCTTCCCAAGATCTTTTATCTGACCCTGAAAGAGAAGTAACTTTGAAGTTGGACAATATCCTAGATCTTTACAAAAGCTGCTGGACTAGTTAGTTCCCACACTCTGGGTGGGGACTCGGAAACTGTCCATGTGTAGTTAGTGCCTCAAATGAATGGGCAGCCACTAAAAGGAGCATTCAAAAAGCAGGGTGCTGTTGGACAGATTGTTCCTCTGGTGGCTTGTTTAAAGAAGGATTTATATCTACCCATTGTAGAGACATGAACTATCCCCCTTTGAGCCACAAAACAATCTTTTGTCAATGGGAGCATCTATTCTTGTGCGACCAGAGAGAAATAGACATTATATCTTTAGTTGGCCCAGAAATTAGTCTGGGGCTTGCTGGAGTACAGAATATAGGAGTCAGGGATGGAAGTATGACTCCATGGGGATGCATGAGACAAACAAACAAAAAGCTTTGCATGACCAGACACCAGTCCAATGTTAGATTGATGGAAATCCCTTCCATGGTATTTATTTTCAAAGGGAAAACCTGTATTGTAAAAGTAGTCATGCCTATGTGCAAATTAATTTTCTCTCCCTATTCTTGCTTTGTGTTTTGATAATGATCATTTGCTTGACACATTATGTCAGTTGTCATGCTGGCAGAAGTTTTTTCTGATAGAATCAGGAATATCTGCTTTATCCAAGGAGATGACATCTGGGACGTTATGGATTAACTCCTAAAATATCTGCTAAAATACCTCAGAAAGTGGAAGGTGAATGGCAATGATCAGTTGTGAGAACCCAAAACAAAACTTTTGAATCTTTTTTCTTTCCCTATCAGAGCCTCTCTGTTTCATTCATTCATTCACTCACTCACTCACTCACTCACTAATTCATTCATTCATTCATTCACTCACTCACTCACTCACTCACTCATTCATTCATTCATTCATTCACTCACTCACTCACTCATTCATTCATTCACTCACTCACTCACTCACTTACTTACTCACACTCACTAATTCATTCATTCATTCATTCATTCATTCACTCACTCACTCACTCACTCACTCACTCACTCATTCATTCATTCATTCATTCATTCATTCATTCATGTATTTCAATCCTGCCCATTTCGCCTAAGCAACTCTGTTGCTTACCTGTTGTTCGCATGTTTTTATTCCTGTGCAGTGAAAGATATACGGAAGCTTATCAGAAAGGACACCAGCTAACCTGTTGAAACAAAAAGACTAAAACAACTTACTTGGAAGAATATGAACTGCTGTAGAATTAAGCAATATATAGTACAATATGGAGAGAGTTGTTCTGATGTGTGAACAATTCAAACATGTTCATAATTCCTCAGCATGAATGACATGGACATTTACTGCTGCTTGATAAACAACAGAAGTTATTTTTTATTTAATACACCGATACCTCAACCTTCTTCAATCTACAGAGGGCTTCTATGGGGCTATAATAAAGATTGGTTTAAGGGTGAAGTTGGTGAATTTCATGCCTGATCAAGGATTTCGTGCTAACCACTCTGTGACACACATTGATTTGAATATTACTGTAGAAAGTCAGCACTTACCCTCTCCTAGAAGAATGAAATATTCTAGGCAATATTAAAAAGGCAGGATATTATATTTCCCTGGATGAGAAAAGGAGAAACATGTTTTTAAGGACAAAGAGTAACTCCTTGCAGCTCCCTGGCCTCAGGAGATATTTGGTGCTTATTGAGCAGGACTGGGCCAACCTATCTTCAAGACAATTAGATCTTTAGCTCCAGGGTGATGGGATTAAGACATGACTCTCCAGGACATAATAGGATTATCTATCAGTAGAGCTCACCACATGGCACAACCAAGACCCTTTATTGCATCACCCAGCAAGGTTCAACCAAACTTATCTCAGACAACCTCAGCAATGACCCCTGCATAGCCCCTGGGAGTCTGACAACCAATAGAATGCATGTTCTTGAACAGGAACAGGAAGCTCAAGGGCAGGGCCCAAGAGAGGGTATAAATACCTCTCTCAACTCCATATGGTCAGCTGCCCAGGACCTCAAACCCATGTGGTCCTTCTTTACCAATAAACCACCTTCCCAATCAGCCTCCATGTTTCCTGTGCCTTTCTCCCCACTTGGAACTGAACCAGATGGATATTTCTTCCAACATCACTAAACTTGTGATGACTGGAATCTGGGGAGGCAACAGTTAAAAAATTCAAGATGGGAGCCACAACCATGTAAATGAAGCACAGCCCCCATTTAAAGTATATTGCCTATGCAATGCCTATAAGAAGGGTTTTGCTTGCAAATATGCAGCCTGACAGACACACTGTGGATGTCCTGGTTTTCACCAGATGATCTCAGAAAGTGAAATATTTTATGCTGATGTCATATGGATTAAAAGAAGAAAAAACCCACTATGCTGCTTAAAAGCAGCCAGGCATTGTTTATTGTTCCTAGTTCTTCATAAGTTTTATTGTAGTCTCCTGGCAGTTTCCTGTTTTTTTTAATCCCTAGCAAAACACTTCTGTTTTAACTGCCATTAAAACATCCATGGCCATGGACCCCCAAGACTTAGCTCAAGATTTAAATCATAACATTTCTTCAAGCCTTTGTGGACCCTCCCTGGGATGACATCATGCCCTCCCCCCCCACGGATTCATGGACCACAGGTTGAAAAGCATTGTCCTATATCATTTTTATGCCTCTTTCTCTTTATCATTCACTGGAGAATGCAATAAGGAAGGGTGATTGCATTCATTCCTTACTTCTGGGATTCACACATTAGCATCGGACTACCCTATGGAATTCAGATGCTGGACTAAATCTTTGCTTGATTTAACTGTGATCTACAATTAGGCAAGACAAACCAAAAGTACACATATAGACTGAGTGAAACCAGGCTCAATAGCAGTAACTGTGAGAGGGAACTTGGAGTCTTAGTGGACAACCAGCTAAATATGAGCCAGCAGTATGCAGCAGCAGCCAAAAAAGCTAATGCAATCCTAAATTACATTAACAGAGGGATACAATTGAGATCAAGTGAGGTACTAATACCACTCTATAAAGCCTTAGTAAGACCACATCTCGAGTACTGCATCCAGTTTTGGTTACCACATTATAAAAAAGATGTTGAGACTCTAGAAATAGTACAGAGAATGAGTAGGGTGATTGGGGACTGGAGACTTAAACATATGAAGAATGGTTACAGGAACTGGGCTTGGCTAGTCTAGTGGAGAGAAGGACCAGGGGAGACATGATAGCAGTCTTCCAATATTTGAGGGGCTGCCACAGAGAGGAAAGGACCAAGCTATTTTTTAAAGCACCCCAAGGCCAGAGAAGGAATAATGGATGGAAGCTGGACAAGGAGAGATTTGACCTGGAAATCAGGATAAATTTTCTGACAGTGAGAACAATCAACCAATAGAACAGCTTGCCCTCGGAAGTTGTGGGAGCGCCATCACTTGAGACTTTCAAGAAGAGATTGGACTGCCATTTGTCAGAAATGGTGTAGGTTCTCCTGCTTGGGCAGGGGGTTGGACTAGATGACCTACAAAGTCCCTTCCAACTCTGATTATCTGTTATCTGCTATCTCTTTGAACTGTATGAAACCAAGATCTGCGTGGAAAAAAACATATTAGACTTTTAGTTTGAAGGAAGTCATGTCAAATTGGAAACATGTCTGGAAGATAGAGGCACATTCTAGAGGATGTGATCAGTGATATATTGATGGCCCTTAATGACTCTTGGACAGAAGAATCTAGAAGCTGAAACCACTGTGTTAGGAGGTATATTAACTTGAATCTTAACACAGTGATTTCAGCTTTCAGAATCTCCTATCCAAAGAGATTAAGATGGGGCCATCAATATATCATTGATCACATGACATATTTTTGCATCATCACCATCCAACATCAATGGTTTTCCAAAATTCAGGGCTTGAAAGGGTTGGGGGGAGGAGATTGAGGGTAGTTTCAAGGACTGCAAAAATGAGACTGTCAATTGATCACCTTTCCTTTAAAGATATATGAAGTACATAAAGATATACGAAATATTCTGGTTATATCCCGAAATAAAAATAATAATAATGGACAAGTTCTTGAATGTGTACACTGATGTACCCACAAAGGTTTTAGAAAGATAGATGTTTAGTCATAATCCTATTGCTCGAGGAAGAAAATAATTTTGCCTAAAGAGTATTAGAATTGTTATGCTCCGACAGAGAGAGAGAAAAAGTCATGACTACATTCTATGTTCCAAAGAAACATCCTTATAAGGTGAAGGAGGGAGTATACCTGCTTACTTCAGGTTAAGCAAAAGACATTACAGAATTGCAGGTGCCAGATCATTGGTTTTTTAGGTGATATCCTCGGAGAAAACCATACTCCCACCAACTCTGACAGGGCAAGCCACGGTCAAGTGCCAGGGAAGTCAGGGGATTCATACAGTTCAAATGGTTATAAAGATTTATTGAAAAGCTCTCTACAAGAATCTGAATAGTCCAAGCAATTGGTGGTAGATAAAAGTCCCAGGAATTCAAAGTGGGCTGAATTTAGATCTTTTGGGGGCAAGAAAGGACTGATGGCTGATGACATGTTTGACCCCTCCGTTGGGCTGAGCCTGGTCATCTCCTACAGCTACTGTATAAAAAGAGAGCAAACCCCATTCCTTCTAGCAGTGAAGATGTTAGTAACGAAACATCTGCAAGAAGACAACCAAGTTGTGATGAGAAATTCAATGAAATTCTGAAAGGTGATATGAGTTGACCAAAGATGGATGTCCTGTTTCACTGCACAAGTAATCTCTCTAGTGGACTGCTGTTTTTCTGGCATTCAGACCTTTAATTACATCCCAGGATTTTTCCATGGAGCTTTTTCAGATTAAAGCAATGGAAAAATATGACCAGGAAACACTATCGCCTAATGCAACCCCTTTACTGTTTAACACAAACCAAAGCAGAGTCTTCTTCAAGCCAACAAGAGTTTAGCTCTTTCTATTTTCCCTTTTTTCCCCTTCTGCTTCCTCTCTCTATTTCCCAGAGAATTGATTGTAACTGTTTTGCAACACAAGTGTTTTAATGTGAATTTACCGGAGATCCGGGTTCACTTTGATGCCTTCAGATTTAAAGATTACACAGATAAAATAATTGAGTTAAGTGAGTAATCAAAGAACTGAATACAAAGTTAAACACAGCTGTGTAACCCACAAATGAAAATCCATTCCTTGTCTAAACAAGGATGCTGATATAAATATAAGGAACAAATAAAGGAATAAACTATAAGGAACAAATCAAGGCTACAGTGTTTATCCAAATCATTGCCCTCCAGAAGTATAATAATATGCTGTAAAATGGCGACTGTTGCAATGAAGATTGGGAGAAAGCTGCTGGGTACGGTAGATATTTCAATAAATTCATTTAATTTTGCATTTGAAAATTTATATGCAACTCACAGCTCCATGAATTTTGCAATGCCATTTATTAACCCTCCCATCCTGAGAACATTTATTAGGAAAACACCTGATCAAAAATACCCATTATGATTAAAATAATTAATAAAAATGCACTGTAGCACTGAAAATGACTTACATCATCTGTCACTCTCTTATTATTTGTATATCCCTTTTAGTTATTAAGACAATGTACTTTTTGTATGTGCAGTGCAATATTTTTTTGATGGTTCTTGTATCCTGTCATTTTAAAATCCACTTTCAAATCAATCAATCAAAATCCACTTTCAAATAAATAAAATAAATAAAACAGGTTTCTCTTCTATAACATCTTTTAAACAGAATCTATCTATATAGGCAGCATTTTTTAAATTAACATCTGGGTCCCTTGTTCAAAATATCCATCAGTATGGCCGATATTAAAATATTTTGCTTTATTCTGTATTTGTAAGTTGAATGTAAGTATTTTTCTTTAATTATAAGAAGAACAATCAAATAATTTCATTTCTTCTAGTTTTCACTAGTGTCCAACTCTCAAAGTCTCATCTTATCTTGTTTTTTTAAGAGTATTCAAAACAAAAGCATTTTTCCCATGGGAAGGTGTCTTATAATTAATTCCAAAATCTTTTCCCAAATTGATTAGATCCTTTGTCCTTTTGCAACTTCCTAAAAGCAAACCTGTAATTATTCTTTTGCTGTTTATTTCTCTCCATCCATTTTTTAAAGTCCTGAAACTTGTATTTAAAACTTCTTTCACTAAGGATTGAGGGAAACTCAATGGATGCTGTCAAGCTTGTCAATCAAAGATAGCTGAAAGGCAGCCATCAAGTAATTTTTAAAAAGTGATTAGAAAAAGAAGTATGTAAACTTAGGTATCCTTTTACAGCAGGGTGTCAAATGGGCAGCCTGTGGGCCAGATGCACCACAAGCAGCACCTGAGCGCTATGAAGGGGAAAAATGTTGCAAAACCTCATGTGACGACAACATGATGTGGCAAATTTGACACCCATGTTTTAAAGGCATCAGTCTGAGCAAGATGCCTATCCCCTTATCTCCTTGAGCAAAAAAACCCACCAGAGACCACTGTTTTGTGGTCTCCTCATGAGAAGCAAGTGCAGGGGTGGCATGCTACCGGTTCGGCCCGGTTCGGGCAATCTGGTAGCTCCGAAGATCAGCTGAGAGCGAACCGGTTCGGTTTTCTTTGAGGATCAGCTGTTGAGCCCACCAGCCCACCTGGGCTGTAGGCTGTGCTTTATACCTTATTTTTCAAGCTCAGATGATTGGCACAGCACAGCGGATTGCTGCGTATCAACTATTTCACACACAGAGATTGCTGGAGAAAATCATTAGCAAACACTCTGCACACACACGTGAAGTGCGTGCGTGTGTGCAAAGCGTACGCTCATCAAACCCCTAGGAAATTTTTTTGAAACCCACCACTGAGCAAGTGTCTGGAGCACTTATGGGTGATCTCAAGTCCTCTCCTTGTTACAAGAGGAATGGCAAAGAGCCAGTCTATTTGCTGACTCTTATTCCATTGCAGTTGTCAGCTGTAATTCTGGAAGAACTGTTTTCAGGCTCCCAAATCTGGATGAAGATACCCCTGCATCAGTGGTGGGATTCAACATTTTTACTATTGGTTCGGTGAGTGTGGATTGGTGGGCGTGGCAGGGGAAGGATACTGTAAAATTTCCAGTCATCAGAGGTAGTCTTTGCCAGTTCTCCAAACTACTCAAAATTTCCGCTACCGGTTCTCCAGAATGGGTCAGAACCAGAGGTGGTATTCAGCAGGTTCTGACCAGTTCTGGAGAACCAGTAACGGAAATTTTGAGTAGTTTGGAGAACCAGCAAATACTGCCTCTGACTGGTCCCTCCCCCATCTATTCTCTGCCTCCCATCGAGTCCCAGCTGATTGGCTGGGTCTCCTTTGGTTGCCCTGCACAGGAGAATGGAGCTGGAAAGCAGGCCAGTGGGATGGGGAGGGAATGGGGATTTTGCAGTAACCCTACGCCCAGGAGTGGGGAAGGAATGGGGATTTTGCAGAATCCTTATCCTGCCATGCCCACCAAGCCACACCCACCAAGTCATACCACGCCCACCAAGCCACGCCCACAGAACCGGTAGTAAACTTTTTTGAATCCCACCACTGGTCAGAACATGCCCTCTGCCCTGCATTCCCATTTCTGTGCCTGATACCTTCTTTTCTTCTCTTTCTGATCTCCACTTCTCTCTGAGGCATGCTGCAGTGAAGGGTTTGATTCATATGCCAGCATGTTTGGAAATGATTTATAGCCTGGATATTTGACATTATGCCAAGAATCCTGTGAGTACCAGCCTAAGGGCTGAATATGGAATGAAAGCCCCAGGGAGCAGATCCTGTTCTGTCTACATTCAACCAAGGAATACAGTTATAAAGAAACAAAGACAGTGAATGATGTGCATCAACTTCACAGGAACCTTAAAATCAGGGATTGAGTTAGGAAAATAGAAAGGGGAGATGGGAGGAAGAGAACGATTATTATGCTTTTAAAAAACGTTCTCCTTTTTTGCAAAGTACTGTACCACCTACCCCTCTCCTAGAAGAATGAAATGTTTTGAGAAATATTTAAAAGGCAGAATGTTATGTTTCTCTGGATGAGAAATGGAGAAACATGCTCTTGGAAAGCAGCACCCACCTTTCTTAATAGCCCTCAACAGATGTCAGCATGTAAGAGATAAAGAGATAGCTAGCTCTATTCATAAGCAAATTCTATCACCCAAGATCCAACAAAGGTAGGATTAGCCCTCAGCCACAATAGGAATTGCCCAAAGCCTCTTCACTTCATCGTCTCAGTTGCAGCACCACTAGCAGTTCAAATTTCAACCAAACGTAGCTCAGACAAACTCCTAGGGTATGTACATGGCCCCATGGGAGTCTGACAACAGCCAGTAGAATACATGTTCCTGCACAGGAACAGGAAGTTCAAGTGCAAAGCCCAAGAGAAGGTATAAACCCACCCTCACTCTCAACTCCATGTGGTCAGCTGCCCAGAACCCATGTACTTCTGCTTCACCACTAAACCATCCTTCCAATGTTTCCAGTGTCTTTCTCCCAGCTTGGAACTGAACCAGATGGATATTTCTTCCAACACTATAGATGTGGCTCTGTTTTTTTGTACTCATGCATGCTATCATGCACACATTTCAGTTAAAAACAAATTGGCTTAGTTCTTATCACAAGAGGTATTGGAGCAATGCAAACAGACACTTTTTTAGCCTTTTGTTTAGTATTCTGTGTTACTGAAACAAGCCCTTTTTGTTTTGGATCTTTTTCTCTCTCTCTGTTTTAATATATATATATATATATATATTTATAACTATATATTTCTTGACTGGCAGACATTAGCGATTTGCAACAATTAAAGACCCCGAATCAGGGCACTTCTGTTTGCACTATTCAGATGTCAAATCTATTTAGCAGCACCTGAGTTTGCATTCTAACATCAACTTGATAGAAAACAACAGGTGAATATATATATATAGGCAGAGTATGCAGGTCTAGGTGTGTTCAGGTCTTTTCCGAACAGAGTAACATATATATATATATATATATATGTAGGCAGAGTAACATCAATTGGCTGAAAAACTGACCACTGTAGCATTTCTCAAACCTCCTTCAGTTCACTGTTCAGATATGGGAAAGCTTTTATTCTACAAAGTACCATTCAGCATAGCAGTTAACCACTAATGCACCTGTATATGTGTGCCACTGTCTTCTGAATAAAGCTGAAACTTACCAGGGTGAATGTACCAGTATCTACCAATATTTATCCGGCATTCTGAACCTGGTCTTCTGTTCCTTCTGCTCAGTAGGCTTTTAGTTCAGTTGTTCTACCAGGATAGGTGTTTCATAAGCATCTTTCACTTCCTGGAGATTATTGCTGAATGGGGCATGATATTCAGAGAACCAGAACGTACCAAGTAAAAGGTGGGGCACTTTTTATGACTACGCTATAAATTAAATCTGCTGGCAAGCCCAACCTCAATGAATGTATGCAATGGTAAACAATTTCCTCAACCCAGGTATTGTGCAGCTCTCTTAGGAAAGGTCAAACAAACTACAATATATTTGTCAGAACAAGGAAATATTTCAGATGTTGATGAGAAAGTCCAATGAATGAGAATATTGATGTGACTAAAAAGAGGCAATTACCTAATGATTTGTTTGCTTATTCTCTCTGTAGCAATAAAGGGGAATATTTGTAGCTCAGGGTTGAAATGAGGGGTCCTTGGTGCTCTCTGAGCTTGGTTGTTTTCTTATAAATGTTTCATTACTAGCACTTCAAGCACTGCAGTGCAGATGTTACCAGGGGTGGGATTCAAATTTTTTAACAACCGGTTATGTGGTTGTGGCTTAATTGATAGGCGTGGCTTGGTGGTCATGCTATTGGCTGGGTGTGACCAACTCAATATCACTCAGATCGAGGCACTCATCTCCTCGCCTGGCCTCTCATGACTGTGGGGATGCTGCAACAGTTGTAAGTGTGAAAAATAGTCATAAGTCACTTTTTTCAGTGCCATTGTAACTTTGAACGATCACTCCACATGAGCAAAGTACCAGCAAAGGAGGGGAAAAAAAAACTTCAGAGATGTTCCTGAGACAGGAAGTCTAGTCCTGCCAAGAATGTAATAAGGGTTAATGGAGAGGCAGTTTCTGTAAGCAACACCAGAATGTTTCCTTCCTGCCTTCCTTACAGGATTAGGCCAGTAATTTCTTCTAACAACCAGTTCTCCGAACTGCTTAGAATGTTAACAACTAGTTTTAGCGAATAGGTGCGAACTGGTAGAATTCTACCCATGGATGTTACCTAGTTTGAGTAATGAAATGTTCTCCTTATAGTAATTTGTCATTCCTTGGGTTTCTATCTCTAACATGACCTCTAGCTTTTTAGTTGTCAAGATTGCTGATTTCTTTTTGCTTTCCAGTTCTTCTGCTATCTGGGGATTCTGAGTATATCATCCAACAGGCTTTGGTGGAGCCTCCAACCAGGATCAATTGCACTTGATCCTGCTTTATTATGAACAATCATTAGGAGTTGACAGGTCAACTATCATCTAATTCCTAGAAGTAAAATGACAGGTGACAAACAAACCAAGGATACCTATAGCCAACAACTCTTGGTTTTATGGCTTCCGAAACCTCCCAAATTTGTCAAAATGCAGTGACAAATTGCAAATACTAGCATAGGATTTTCTAGTAAGATGTGCTAACTGTTTGAGAACTTTTATTTTATTTGTTTGTCAAACATGTACAAGATAACAAGTATAGGTATGAACATAAACATGAACAAAGGAAGTAAATATAGATAACAGTGGACAGTAAGACAGGGGTGGTAGGCATGCTGGTGCACTTATGCACGCCCCCTTTAAGGACCTCTTAGAAATGGGGTGAGGTCTATGGTAGACCTCACCCCAGTTTGAGGTTGAAGCTGTGAGGAGTTGAGGCTGTAACAACAGAGACTGGTAGGGCGTTCCAGGCATTGAGTTTGAAGTGGTTTATCTTGAGTTTGTATTGGTTGTTTGCCTGTGTATTATTATGATTGATGTAGTTGCTTGACATTAAGAGCCATGGTGGCGCAGTGGTTAGAATGCAGTACTGCAGGCTATCTCTGCTGACTGCCAGCTGACTGCAATTTGGCAGTTCGAGTCTCACCAGGCTCAAGGTTGACTCAGCCTTCTATCCTTGGTCTGAGGTTGGTTAAATGAGGACCCAGATTGTTGGGGGTAATAGGATGACTGTAAACCTCTTCGACAATGCTGTAAAGTCCTGGGAAGGACTATATAAGTCTAAGTGCTGTTGCTATTTCCTTCCTTTGTTCGTGGTGGGTTACAATCAATTCAAGGACATTCCAGGCTTGAATATTTCACATAGTTACTAAACTTACCCATGTTTAAACTGCAGCAAATTGTTTCATATTTACTGGATGTTGCCCACTGTTTCCTAAAGAAGGTGTGCCCGAAATAGCTTTTCAAATGATCTGGGACAGAAGTGACCTTTTTGTTTGATGACTTCCCTGTTCAAGTCACTTCCTGAAACAAATCATTGCACTCAAATATCACCTACTTGATGTGAACATATTAACTATCAGACACTGGATGTGAATGCTGGAAATCAGCAAAAAAAAAAAGAAGAAGCCAAAAACCAGGATCATAAATGTGAGCCAGTTGCCAAGTTCACAAAATACAATTGTGTGACAACGACATGTGTATATGTGTGCGTGTATTTTTGTGTACAGTGATTGAAACTTTGAAATCAGGTGGTATCCTTTTAGGGGTCCGTCGTACCTTTGAACGGTCACTAAGAATAAAATAGATATAGAATTCTTTTATTGGCCAAGTGTGATTGGACACACAAGGAATTTGTCTTGGTGCAAATGCTCTCAGTGTACATAAAAGAAAAGATACATTCATCAAGAATCATCAGGCACAACACTTAATAGTAGTCATAGGGTACAATAAGCAATCAAATCATACTAGGAAACGATCAATATAGATCGTAAGGATACAAGCAACAAAGTTACAGTCATACAGTCAGAAGTGGGGGGGGGATGGGTGGTGAGGAGTGATGAGAAGATTAACAGTAATAGTTGTGCAGCGTTAAGCGAGGATTATATGTAGAGCTAGTCGTCAACTTAAAGATCAAAACTGAGCCCCAAATTTCTGTTGCTAAGCAAGGCAATTGTTAAGTGATTTGTTCCACTGATTAATTGTTCTGACTGATTAATTGTCCTTGGAACCTGTTTAATTCTTGTTATGCTGGTTTGACGCTCCTCTTATAAAAATAACTTTTAACTGCTCCCAGCTAGTCAGCTAAATATTTTTCTAACTGTTTTACAACTTTTTTGGTGCAGTTGTCCTGTGGTTAAGTGAATCTGGCTTCTGCCATTAACTTTATTTGTCCAAAGCTGATTAGGAAGATGGGAAATGGTGATAAGATGATGCCAGGAGCCAGTGCAACCATTGTAAACAATATGTACCAGTTGCCAAGCACCTGAATTTTGAACACGTGACCTTGGTGTAATGTTTGAAAGGGTATGAACAGGTCCTAAGCCACTTTTTCCAGTGGCATTGTAACTTGGGACAGTCACTAAGCCAATGGTTATAAGTTGAGGACTATCTACAATCAATCATTTTCATGTTAAAAAGTGTCAGGACCTTTTAGCCACAATTATGTTGACGTGCACAAATCTGAAGTCTGTAAACAGTGTATCATGATTTAGGGTATAACTAAATCTTTATATCATAACTTCCTCAAGTAGGTTTCCTTCAGAGGTCATTTTGCGGAAGATTGCGATTGAAAAAAAGTAAACACGATTGAGAGTGTTTTAACAAACTGCATCGCTGTTTAGTTTGGGGGCAGCAGTGCCTCCGATAGAAAGTCCATACGGAGAGTGGTAAGGACAGTTGAGAAGATTATAGGAAGCTCGCTCCCCGTCATTCAAGATACTGCTTATAAGCGCTATGTGTTTAGAGCTCAAAGCATTGTTAGAGACCCCACACACCCACTTCACGGTCTGTTTCTGTTGCTCCCTTCTGGGAGGATGTTTCGAAGTATTTCTAGCAGGAGCGCAGTACCAGATTCTCTAACAGCTTTATCCCAATGCTAACTGTCTGATAAACTTGCAAGATTTATTTTTCTCACCATGTACATATATGTGGGTATATGAATAATTTTGTATTTATTTATTTATTTTGTCATGTTTATGTAGTGTATATTGGAGGTGATAACTCTTTGGGAGCTGTATGCAATGAAATGTCATTTTAAAGTATGCTGATTAGTGTCCATTCAAAGTGACAATAAAGTTATTCTAAGTTCTAAGCCTAAGTTCTAAGTTCATACGGTGCAATGTTAATACTTTATATGCAAAACTATTCTTGTATATTCTATTCCTCACTGGCATCTTGTACAGTAGAACTTTGTGAAATTACTTTGAAGCCTATTTGGATAAGTGTATTGTGTAGGGTGAGCTGTAGATATATTTTTTAATAAAGGGAATCCCTGAGACTGGAATATTACTTCAAGGATTCCTTTAGGGTAAGAAATATTCAAAAGGCTGATTTAGAGGGATGTGTGAATGACACTGTGGCAAAAAAAAATTGTGTTTAGCCTTGATTGACCAAGCTACAGGCTTAGCATCATGTCTCACTTCTGGATGGTCCTTGGAACCTGTTTAATTCTTGTTATGCTGGTTTGACTCTTCCCTTATAAAAATAACTTTTAACTGCTCCCAGCTAGTCGGCTGAATATTTTTCTAACTATTTGTATGCCCTGTTTTTACCTCTTTGAAGAAAAGAATTTTAATACACTATTTTTATCAGTTATATAGAATAGAATAGGATAGAATAGAATAAGAGAGTTGGATAGTCCAACCCACTACCTAGGCAGGAAACCCTATACAATGTAAGAGAAATGGTTATTCAATCTCTTCTTAAAAACTTCCAGTGTTGGAGCATATACAACTTCTGGAGGCAAGTTGTTCCACTGATTAATTGTCTAATTGTTCCACTGATTAATTGTTCTGACTGATTAATTGTCCTTGGAACCTGTTTAATTCTTGTTATGCTGGTTTGACGCTCCTCTTATAAAAATAACTTTTAACTGCTCCCAGCTAGTCAGCTAAATATTTTTCTAACTGTATGTATGCCCTGCTTTTACCTCTCTGAAGAAAAGAATTTTAATACACTATTTTTATCAGTTGTATAGAATAGAATAGAATAGAATAGAATAATTCTGCAGTCAAAACTCTGCCCATTTTTAAACTCTGCATCATGCATAATACAGGGGTAATACAGGGGTAGCTTTGAGAACACCATCATTGCCACCATAAGGGCTTTTGGACCACACTTTGCAGACACCCCTGGCTGTCATGATGGATATTTGTTGTGCTTCATAA